TTAATTTTTCTATTTTCAGTAGAGACAAGGGCCCCCACTTGGTCAGGCTGGGTTTGAACTCCTGACTTCATGTGATCCTCCTGCCTGTGCCTCCCAGGGTGGTAGGATTACAGGTGTGAGCTGCTAGGCCCAGCTTTAGATTCTGTTTTCTCTCACCTACTCAAGGACACTACTTCAGTAGTTATTCTCCCTCTATCCTGTATTATAAAGATTTCCCACCTCACTGGATCATTTTCAGCAGCATTGAGTCATACTGTAATTCTGTCTTACAAGTAATAACAAAAACTACCCTACATTTTCTTTTAGTGTGTGTTCAGTTTTTTATTTCTCTCTCCGTTTCTGTCTCTCTCTTTTTTTAAGAGATGGAGTCTCATGTTGCTTACACTGAAGTTCAGTGATGTAATCATAGTTCACTTCAGCCTCTGACTCCTGGGCTTCAGTGATCCTCCTGGCTCATCCTCCCATGTAGCTGGACTACAGGCATGTGCCACTGTGCCAGCTTATTTTTAAATTTTTTGTTGAGACAGGGTCTCGCTGTGTTGCTCAGGCTGGTCTCGAGCTCCTGGGCTCAGGTGATTCCCCAACTTTGCCTCCCAAAGTCCTAGGGGTTATAGGCATGGGCCACTGTGCCCAGCCTTTGTGCTTCGCTTATAACAAGAGTTCCATAATCCCTTTTATCTGTAACAAAATATGGGCTGGCAGAGCGTATACACAACAAAGGAGGCTGGGAAGTCCAAGCAGAAAGCCAGGGAGTTGGGTTCATCACTTTCTCGTCTCTCAAGTCTTGTGCTGCCTGTTGTCCAAAATATAAAAACATTACCTCCTGTATTTTTTTCCATTTTTGTTGTTATTGTTTTAAAGTGGAGAGTAATCTTTTACCATTTATTCTATCGTGGTTGGCAGCAAAAGTCTTGTGACAACATTAGAAAAAAATATTTTAACATTAAGTTTTTTTAATTATAACACACTGATAATTATACAGAAAAGAAACCAGTTGTGGAGTTTGTTTTTTTTTTTCCTTTTCCAAGGTGCTGTTTGTAACATACCTGTAAGTGAGGAAGATTTTATTCCTTTTTTGATTATGTGATAATGGCTATGAGATGGTACAGCTGTAATTTGTTCACTCCCTGTAGAAGATATCATTTGTTGTTACAAATGTTCTTCAGAACTTGACAGTATCATCCAGAGAAAATTGTTTGAGCAATGATAGAGCTTTCCCAGAGGCTGGACTCCTTTCATTATAACTTATATCAGACACAGTTACTAGATTGTTGCTATAAGCAGTTTTTTACTGTGAGAGGGCCCCTTAAGGCAGGAACTTGTCATTCCTTATACACTTGTCTTCCCTGTGGACAGTGGTCAGGATTGTTGAGCCTAAGTAGGAATGACACTTTAAATTTTGTGACCATTCAGAATGTCTTCCTTGATTTCCCAGAACTTTGTTCTTCTCTAGAGTAATCAGTGTTGGTTGGTTTCCTGGTTTCATTTCCGCCTTTCATGTAGCCCTCAGTACTAGAGATAGTTGGCTTCACATTTTCTACAAAATTGTTTGTCATCGAAATTAAAGTATTATTATAGATCACTAAAATTGTGTACAACATAAAATGGAGAGTTTCTGCTAGGAAATGGCAGGTTTATTTCTTAACCAGTTACGGACAAAGGCTTAGTTTTTTTGTATGTTGTGTTTTATTTTGCTCTGCAGTTTCGGTTGGCAGGTTGGGCTAAGTTGATCTATTTCATGTGTATGTTCTATATGAATAAGTATTTGTGCATATAATCAAATGTATATATAGAAGACATTCCTCATAACACTCACAGGTCTTTTATCTCTGTTACTTTTGTCTCGTTATTCTCGTCCTGCTATATGCCTTGCTTTTTCAAAATAGGTTAAAAACTTTCGTATTGTTCATATTGGCACAGGTACTTTTTTTTAACAGATACTTTAAAAAATATAAATAAACTGATAGGTACTTGAAATAGGTAAAGATCTGTATAAAACAATATTTTATAGGTGAGACTTATTTTTCAGCATTACTAGATAAAAAGATTTCTTATAAGATATTTGTCAAATAATTAAGATACTATTAAATTCAAAAATTGGATTATAACATTTTTAAGCTGGAAGTGAGATTGAGGCATTTAGCTCAGACCCTAATATCAGGGTAATGTGGGAGTACTAACTGATCTCATAGTTTGCATTTGTAAGGTTAAAGTTGGATTTATAGGTGTGTCCGCACCCAGGTAGGATGCCATCTGCCAGTGCACAGTGCCCATTAGGGAGGGATTTACTGAGCCCCTACTCTCCCCCCTCCATTCCTTCTTCTGGAATTTCATTGAGTTTTTCTCTCATGTGAGCTTATAGGTGTTCATCTCCTTGTTTCAGTTTAGTACTGGAAGTATTTGGTGTTTGTTTTCCATTCTTGTGATACTTCACTTAGGAGAATGGTCTCCAGTTCTGTCCAGGTTGTTGCAAAGTTATATAATCTGCATCTTTTATGGCTGAATAATATCTCATGGCATACATAGACCATAATTTATTAGTCCCTGTCTGTTGAAGAGCTCTTGGGTGGTTTCTACATCTTTGTAGTTGTAAATTGTGCTGCTGTAAACATATGAGTACAAGTGTCTTTATGGTAGAATGTCTTTTCTTCCTTTGGGTAAATACCTAGCAATGGGGTTACAGGATCAAATGGTAGGTCTACTTTTAGTCTTTGGTGAATCTCCATACTGCCATCCATAGAGGGTGAACAGCCTGCATTCGCACCAACAGTGTGTAAGTGTTCCCTTCTGTCTGCTTTCATGCCTGCGTCTGTTGTTTGGGACTTGATGATGCAAACCATTCTCTCTGGGGTTAGGTGATACTGGGGTGGTTTTGATTTGCATTTCTCTGATGATTGAAGATGTTGAACATTTTTTCATGAGTTTGTTGGCTATTAGTCTTATCTCTCGAGAAAAGTTACTGTTCATGTTTCTTGCCTCCCTTTTAACAGGGTTGTTTGGTTCTTTCCTTGTTGATTTGATTGAGTTCTGTGTAGATTCTTGTTATCAGCCCTTTGTCAGGGGGGTAGCATTCAGTTATCTTCTCTCATTCTGTATGTTGTCTTTTTGATTTTGTCCTTCACTGTGCAGAAAGTCTTTAACTTGACCAGGTCCCATTTATTTATTTTTGTTGTTTCTGCAATTGCCAGTGGAGTTTTCTTCATGAATTCTTTAGCTAGGTGAATAAGATTAATAACAGTTTTTCCCCACACTTTCTTCTAGCTTTTTATAGTTTCTTATCTTAGATTTAAATCTTTTATCCACTGTGAGTTAATTTTTGTGAGTGGTGAGAGGTGCAGTCCAGTATCTGTCTATTACATGTGGCTAACCAGTTCTCCCAGCACCATTTACTGGTGGAATTTTTTCCCCAGTGTATGCTTTTGTTTGCTTTGTCAAAGACCAGATGGCAGTGTGAGGCTGGCTTCAACTCTAAATTCTCTGTCCTGTTCTGTAGCTCTGTGTTTCTGTTTTTAAGCCAATACCATGTTGTTTTGATCACTCTAGGCTTGTGGTATAGTCTGAAGTCTAATAAAGTGATACCTTCAGATTTGTTCTTATTTTGTAGAATTGCACCAGCTATTCGGGTTTTTTTCTGATTTCATATGAATAGCAGAACTATTTTTTCCAGATCTGCAAGACATTAGTAATTTAATGGGAATTGCATTGAATCTGTAGATCACTTTGGGTAGTATAGACATTTTAATGGGCTTGATATGTTCTGTCAGTTGACATCCTCTGCTGTTCCTTTTCTCAGAGTTGCATAGTTCTCTGTGTAGAGATCCTTCACATCCCTTGTTAAATAAATTCATGTTCATATAGTTTAGATGCTGTTTTGTAGTTAAGTAAGAACCCAAAAGGTGGCAAACACATGTACTTTCAGAGCCCCAGAGCAGGATTGCAATCCATATTCTCCTGATTCCTGGTGCAGTATGTGCTAAAGAGAGACAACTCTGTGGGGCCATAAATGCCCAGCCAAGACAGACCTAGTGTTCCCTGTTCAGGTGTTCTTGGGACTTTTGCTATTAACGTGGGATATTTGCCCTTACATCTTTCCTCGCCTACACTTCATTTTTCATCTTCTCTGATTCTCTGAGCCTGACCATTTCCATCCCTCCAATTTGGTGAACTCTTGTTAACCTTTTTAAAAACTCAACTCAGATGGCTTCTTTTCTAAGATATATTCTCAAAACTCTTTTACCTACTGCCTTTTACTCTTGGATTTTCCTGTATCGGCCTCATCATTCTGTTAATGCAGCATCATGGTATAATTGGTCGCATTTTTTTCTCTACTGAATTGTAAGTTTTTAGTAACGTCTTGTCTTCTCATGTGTTTTAATGTAAGTCCTAATACAGTGTCTTTTGAACTGCGATCACAACGCTGGGAAATAGGATTTAAAATAGACTTAAGTAAAAGGCCTGAATATAAATTTTGAGAATAATGTGACTTCTTGCTGACCTCCTCCCATTTTGCATTTTTCTAGATTATTAAACACATTTGAATAGTTGAGGTTGCCAAGTCTGTGTCTTCAGATCAATAGTTCCCAAATATTGGTTCCATGAACAAGCTTCATCTAATTCCCCAGTGGATTTTATACAAATACAGTGGGATTTCTGATTTAGTGGAACTAGCATAGACCCCAGAATCCTTTTTGGTTTTATTTTGTTTACTTTAAATCTGCTCAATTATTTTGATCCATTAAGATTAAGAAAAACATGTTCATATAACAAAGTGTCGTATCACTGTGAGATTGCTGGGGGCACTTGCAGAGTTCTGTAATCTGCTTAAGTGCATAGGAGTTTACGAGTTTTCTTATTTCTGATCCCCAGTGAGTCTAGCACATATAATTTACACTAATGAGAATAAGTTTAAATTGGTCACTTTTGAGATGTTTTTAATCTAAGTTTTGATTAATTCTCAAAATGGTGACAAATTAACTTCTCTGTTTTTACTGTTACTTTAGGCGTGTTCAGCCTCGGCGTTCCTGTAGATGCTCTCTTCTTTATTGGGAACCAGTTGGTGGCCACGAGTCATACAGGGAAAGTGGGAGTGTGGAACGCGGTCACTCAGCACTGGCAGGTTAGTTTTAATCATATTCCAAAAGTCGAAATACTTCTGAAACTTAAGCTGTTTATGCTTCTGTTTTATTCTTGTAGAATTCATATTATGTCTGCTTTTGATTATAAGGAACATTGAAAATATTTAGTGGTAAATTTTTTTTTAGGTAAAAATTTGACTGTGTTTTGGAAAATAAGTCAGTTTTTAAGCTGTGGTTTGGCATTTCTTCATTTCCGTGGAATGTTTTGGGTTACATGCTTTGAGCATGGTAGTCCAAGGCAAACTTTTATTTCTTGAGTGGAATCACAAATCTATGTGAAAATACATACTCTGTTAGAGAAAATATCAAATTAAATGTTCTTAAGTACAGCGAGTAATAGGATAGGGAATAAGACATTTAAAAAGGTTAATAACTGGTTTTGAAGGAAAGAGAAAAATAAGGACTTTAAGCAGGGAGTGACAGGTTTTAGAAAGGTAGCAATGTTAACTAAAATGAAAGGCACACTGGAGATCAGGGGACAGTCTTCTACCAAAAGAAGTAGAGTGCTTTAAGTAGTGACAGTGATGGTGAAGATGACAAAAATAAATCTATTTGAAAACATTTTTTAGTCCTTCCTAAAATGACAGGACTAGGATCTGATTGATGTGCGAAATTTAAGAGAGAGATGTATTTCTGATGTGGGTTTCTGGTTTTGACATTCGTGTGGCTCGTATTGAATTAAAAGGGAACATAGGAAGAGAAGCAAATAAGTCGGTGGATAGGGTGAGGACCAAGATTGAGTAACGTTCATTTGACATTCCCGTGGGCATCTGTGTGCAGGTGTTCACTGTATAGATGGAGTACTCCTGTGCCATTTAGGAAAGATGAAAGGGCTGGAAACGAATATTTGGAATTCCCAATACTTCTGTGATAATTTTAAAAATTGATAAAATATTTCAATGTTTGTATCCACTCATTGAAAAGCCAAAATTAAAACTCTGGGAGGAACATTAGCATTTATAGGACATTAAAGATCAAGAGCCAAGGGGACACATGTGATATGATTGAGAAATAACCTTGGTTTTGGCAGTAGATATCGTTTGCAAATGTATATTGATTAGGTTTTGGTGGGGGAACGCTAAATTATAGGAACTGAGGAATTACAAGCTCAGAGGTTAGAGATAGCAAATTCAGTTGTCTCTAAAGAAGACTGGTAGTGAAGGAAAGCAGATAACCAAAGTGATAGGTTAAGGATCAAGGCTAAATTGAAAAAAAAAGAGATCTGTTGCTTTACTTTTTTAAATTCTCTACAACAGGAGAAGCTTGAGCATGCTCATAGCTAAGGAAGAGAGTCGCCAGAGAAAGCTCCTGAAGATTAAAAGAAGGGAGATGATTTCTGGTCCCCTGATTTCTGGTCAGGAATATGTGGGATCTGGAGCACAGATAGAGAGGTTGGTTCAACCAAGAGTAGACATTCCTTTCTCTGTGACGACAGGGTGAGGAAGGAGTAAAGAAAAAGTCATTGGAAGTATGTACCAAGAATTGCAGAGATTATAAATGGGATTTGCAGTGTACCTGGGTGATAGAGTTATCTGAGTTTCTCCCATAGTGCTCAGGACTGGGAAGAAGAGCAGGAGAAAAAAACAACACCAGAGTATTGGCCAATTTTAGGACTGGAGTTTTAATAACATATGAGATATGTTATATGGCATACCAAGGGGATGAGAAAATACCAAGATGGGTAAGTGAAATTGTGAGATCAAGGAATGGTGGCAAGGAAGTGCCAGGTAGACACAGAAGGATATAGGGATGTTGAAGGCCTACATCCTGGTGCTTCAGTGTTCATACTGATATCCTTTGTAGATAGCAGCTGTTGATATTGCTACAAAGAGGAATATGAATTTTAATCATATTAATATGATTCAGTCATATTAAATCACATTAATGGTTTATGTTTCCAGTTACTTCCTTCAAGTCTGAGTTTTTAGTGGCTGGTAGAAACTATACTATCTATGCCATAAAACTGCTAACTTACATTTAGGTTTCTCTTTTTTCTTTTTTCTTTTTTGAGACAGTCACTGTGTCACCCTTAGTGGAGTGTAGTGGTGTCACAGCAACCTCAAACTCTTGGGCTTAAGCGGTTCTCTTGCCTCAGCCTCCCATGTAGCTGGGACTACAGGTGCCCATCTCAGCGCCTGGCTGTTTTTTTGTAGCAGTTGTCATTGTTGCTTAGCAGGCCTGGGCCATGTTTGAATGGGTGCCCAGCCACATTTAGGTTTGACAAGGAACATGCTTCTTTATTACCTTATTTTTTACTGATATTTTCAAAACTACGTATAAAATGTTATAATGTTTTTGAGGCCCTGAAAACTGTACCAGTTTCCTCAAAGTAGATACTGTTTCTTAGCATCTAGTCACATACATAACACAATGTTCCTTCCTTGGTACAGGATGAAATGAAAACTGGATCTGACAAAGTAGATTTGTTACGCGTTTCGGGAAGACCTTGGGAAAGTTGAGCATTCATGCCTCAAACGAGCCTTATAACTCTGCTAGATGAATTTCTTTGTAGTAAAGTACATAGATAGCATGTAATGAAATCTCAGCATTGAATCTGTGAATCTCAATAGACAATTCTGACCTGAAGCCGACTCCTTTGACTACTGTCACTAGTTGAGCTCTTAACCTTAGCGTTGGATCTGAAAAGGTCTAGTAACTGGGGTGAGAAAATTGGTCAGTGGTAATATCCAGCATCCTTTCATGAACAGAACACTTGAGAAAATGGGTATAGAAGGGACATTTCTTAAAGTAATAGAGGCCATCTACAGCAAACCCACAGCCAATTTTATATCGAATGGAGTAAAATTGAAAACATTTCCACTCAGATCAGGAACCAGGCAAGGTTGCCCACTGTCTTCACTGCTTTTTAACATTGAAATGGAAGTCTTAGCCACCATTGCATTCAGGCAAGAGAAGGAGTTCAAGGGGTATCCACATAGGGTCAGAGGAGATCAAACTTTCACTCTTTGTAGATGATAAGATTGTATACCTGGAAAACCCCAGGGACTCAACTACAAAACTCTTAGAAGTGATCGAGGAATACAGCAGTGTCTCAGGATACAAAATCAATACAAATCATATATACCATTAAAGCTGAAGAAACAGTCAAGGACTCTATTCCTTTTACAGTAGTGCCAAAGAAGATGAAATATCTGGGAGTGTACCCAACAAAGGACTTGAAAGATCTCTAGAGAACTGTGAAACTCTGAAAAAAGAAATAGCTGAAGATGTTAACATAGAAAAATGTACCATTCTCATGGCTGGGAAGAATCAGCATTGTTAAAATGTCTGTACTACCCAAAGCAATCTACAGATTTAATGCAATCCCTATTAAAGCACCTCTGTCACACTTTAAAGATTTGGAATAATTAGTACTTCATTTTATATGGAAACAGAAAAAAACCTCAGCCAAAACATTGCTCAGAAATAAAAACAAATCAGGAGGAATCATGCTACTAGACTTTATACTATAAATCTATAGTGATCAAAACAGCATGGTACTGACACAAAAATAGAGAGGTAGATGGATGGAACAGAATTGAGAACCAGGAGATGAACCAAGACACTTATTGTCATTTGATCTTTTTTAAGCCTATCAAAAATATAAATTGGGGGAAAGATTCCCTATTTAACAAATGGTGCTGGTTGAATTGGCTTGTGACTTGTAGAAGACAGAAACTGAATGCATACCTTTCACCATAAACAAAAATTGACTCTCATTGGATAGAAGACTTAAAGTTAAGACATGAAACTATGAAGATTCTTGGAGAGAGTGCAGGGGAAACACTTGAAGAAATTGGCCTAGATGAAAACTTTATGAGGAGGACCCCCTGGGCAGTTGAAGCAATACCAAAAATACATTACTGGGATCTGATCAAACTAAAAAGCTTTTGCACTGCCAAGAACACAGTAAGTAAAGTAAGTAGGCAGCCCTCAGAATAGGAGAGGATATTTGCAGGTTATATTTCTGACAATAGTCTGATAACCAGAATCCACAGAGAACTCAAACTTATTAATAAGAAAAGAACAAGTGATCCCATTTCATTGTGAGCAAGAGACTTGAACGGAAGCTTCTCTGAAGAGGAGAGGCATATGGTCTACAGACACATAAAAAAATGCTAATCATGTTTAATCATCAGAGAAATGCAAATCAAAACCACTCTGAGATATCATCTAACTCCAGGAAGATTAGCCCACATCACAAAATCCCAAAACTACAGATGATGGCGTGGATGTGGAGAGAAGGGAACGCTTCTGCACTGCTGGTGGGACTGCAAACTAATACGTTCCTTTTGGAAAGAAGTTTGGAGAACACTCAGGGATCTTTAGTAAAAGGCGAAAGATTTATGCGATCTGAAGAGAAACCAGGGTATAACACTCAGGGATCTAAAAGTAGACCTGCAATTTGATCTTGAAATTCCTATGCTAGGTGTATATCCAAAAGACCAAAAATCACATTACAAAAAAGATACTTGCACTTGAGTATTCATTGCAGCTCAATC